GGTACTCGGGTATCTCTCACACACACACACACACACACCCTCTTCAAAACAGTAAGAACAAAAAATGAGAGCCACAGTGTACTGTTATTCTCTGCTTTCACAGATGGGAAAAACTGCAAGAAGAGAAACCAAGACCTTGTTCTCAGTCATCCCCTTTGCTTTCTCTTACTGAAGAAGTCCATGTGAATGCCCAAGCCTCGTCTAATCACACTAAGATCAAAACCTCATGGGATTTTAGTGTAAAAATTGAATAGATCCCTTAATCTTTAAACAATAAAAGCAGGCAGGAGCCTTTGTTTTAGGGAAACAATTAAGCCAAGTGAATGGAGAGCTGGGCTGTGACCCTGGTGACCGGGAGCTCACTTTGCTGCTCTCCTGCTCGCAGGCTCTGGGACTACTTTAAATCCCTTCACCCCTCTCTGCTTTTGCCAGGCAGGAGCAGAGCCAACTTTAAGCCAAGGCTGCTGATGCCCATTTGTAAAGGCCTCTTGCTTAAGCAACCCCATATCATCAGGGGAAAGGGTGCATTTCTTTTTTGAGATTGTAAAGTGGTGCTAAAAAGAATAGTTACAGTGCCTGCACATAAGTAGTGTTTAAAATGGGGTAAATAATTTGATCATTTTAAGCACCAGAAAATTTGGCTTTAGTTTTCACAACTTCCTACAAGTGGTTGTTTTCTCTCGCGCGTGCTCTGCCTGATTTTACAGAGCATGTGTAATTGCAAGACTTAGAATCATAGAATGGTTTGGGTTGGAAGGGACCTTAAAGACCATTGAGTTCCAACCCCCCTGCCATGGGCAGGGACACCTCCCACTAGAGCAGGTTGCTCCAAGCCCCATCCAGCCTGGCCTTGAACACCTCCAGGGATGGGGCATCCACAGCTTCTCTGGGCAACCTGTGCCAGTGTCTCACCACCCTCACAGGAAATAATTTCTTCCTGATATCTAATCTAATCCATTTGAATTGATCCTGAAGGAGGCAAATGAAACTTTTTATGGCATTTTCAGGCCACTCATAAAAGCGCTATATTTAAGCTAGGCATAATTTATTTTTTTTATGACTGATACTGTAATTAGCTTCTAAAATTAAAGATAGCCCACCTCAGCCTGTAAGAAATTTAAGCTCCTCAGAAATAACAGTGTCCGCTTTCATCATTTTCTTTGGCTACAAAAGCCAGAATTTCTGTCCTCAGTCATCCAAGGCATGTGGTATGAGCCTCTCCTACAATGCGAAGTAGTCGAAAAAGAGAATAAGGAAAAAAATATTTTGGTCCGCATTTTCCCAACACCTTTCTCCTATTCCCCCAAGATTTTCCTTTGCCCATTCAGAACCTTGTTTCCTTAAAAAAAAAACAACCCTGTCTTTCTGTGTACTCCTTCTTAGCTCATGATTGTACAGCCTGACTGTAGGGCACGACCGGTGAATCATAATAGCAAATGTCAACAGGAAAAGATCTCCAGTAGCCCATTAGCTATTTGAGTTCATATTTATTATTTATTGAATGACTGTGAATAATGAACAAATTGCTCTAAATCATTACAGATTTGTGGGTAAATTTCTAGTAAAAAGAGAAAATCAGTTAAAGCAATTAGAGAATTTATTTCCAAGGAAAAAATTGCCTTCGTCTCGTTAATATTATATAGGGTAGACATAGCACCAGCAAGAGAAAGAGAGGTAATCAGTGCGAATTGGTTAGGGATACAAAAAATGGAAACTCTGAAATGACAGAAAAGTGAAAGAAATTCTTACAAAACACTTCCATGGAGCTATCTATCTATCTGCCCTAATCTCTATGGGTTAGAGCATCAGTGAGCTGGACAACACTGGAGATTGTCACCCCAAGTTGTGCTTGCAGTCAGTGTTTAGAGGAATAAATTAGGTTAGGTAAATCCCATTCTAGCTAAATAAGGCTAATCTTTGGAGTTCCATGACTAATTTGTGTACGAGTTTGGCCTTAATCTGTTTCTCAGAGGATACCAGATCAGGTCAGTAGTGCCACTGATGCAAAAGGTGTGCAAGTTTGTCATTTGGGCTTGTATTCCTAAAGGTAAACGAGAATTTTGTAGCTATTTGTACAAATGGAGAGAGGAATCACAAATTGTACAATTGAAGGAAGATACCAGTTCCAAGCATGCAGATTGTGTAGCAAACAACAAAAGGAACCTATCCTAAAATAGAAGAGTATCTAAATGTTTTTCTGTTGGCTTTGTGGAGCACATGCAGTAACGCCTCTTCATGCATTTATTTGAGCAGTTCTCTAAATCAGATTCCATATTTGGGTAGTCTCAATGATTATGTAAGAGCAAATTGTGGATTTATGTTTCCTACTTAACAAAAATATGTGGTATCAGGAGTCATGTTATCAGACATTATCCAAAATCTTATACCTGTTTAAAAGTCATGCTCGGCGTCATATTTAATTAGCTCGAAATTCTTTTTTTCATCGGAAAGTCAAAGGCTTTCCAAATTAATGCGGCTATTTGAGTATTTTTAGGCAAGAGCCTATTAACTCTGAAATGTTTTTTTACAAAAACATGTTATAGCTAAAGCTCACGATGGAAGTAATTTGTAATATTCAATGACCTCATTTTATTCTGTTTTGCTTACTCGAAGCTAATGCATATGATGCTATGTGGAATTCTCAGACGAGCCTGTCTGCAGGACTTATGGGAGCCATAAATGGATTAAACCTCTCACTCCCTGCTTTGGCAAGTGATCAGTTACATTTAAATAAAGGTCAGTCTGTCTTTACAAAGAACACACTGAAAGCAAGCTTAATAGCTTTCCCTACTGAGCCTAGAACATAACTATTTGAAACATAATTAGCAACGGGGTGCCAGTCACTGATTGTGCTTTTTGCTTGATTTTACGTCTGGGGAGTTCCAGTATTCCCCATTAGCTTTAAGAGGGGGCACGGTGCTAGTTATCAAATTGACAGTCTTGACCTGGCCTCTGAAAGCAGCTGTAAAACATTGTTTGGGAAAATTAAGACGACTGCCAAATGCCATACCAAAACCAGGATCGTAATATTGCTACAAATTGGACATTGATGGTCCATGCCGTCACTCCAAATAACAACATAGGTAAGGTATCTGATCTACATGAGAGCACGGACTCTAAATACCAGATGACAGTGATAAGGAGATACACCAGCTGTCCTATTGTCTCTCCTTTTGAGCTCTGTATTTTGAATTCTTTATAAAATACCCCATACCTATTCTGTTCAGCATTAACAGGGTAACCAGCTCTGGCATCTGTTAAAATACAGATAGGATATTCCTTGCAGAAAGGGTGGGGTGAATCAGCTACTGCTGGCCCTACAGTAATACATACTGACCACAAAAGGGTTATTTTGTCAAGCTAATTAAAAATATAGCCTACATAAGGCATTTAAGAATAAACATGATCATAGAATGGTTTGGGGGGGTTGGAAGGGACCTTAAAGACCATCTAGTTCCAACCCCCCTAATACATTTGCTGGTTTTCTGGTTCTTCAGAATACCTCTTTTGTTTGGGGGTCTCTTGACCAATGTTCATAGCCCTTGTGGCAACAGTAATAATCATCTACAGGTGGAGAGAACACAGCTAATACAGCAATTTTGGTACTCTGCAGCCATCCTGAAATTCGAACGAAGATCTCTGAATTACCTTGACCTGTCTGACTGGAGCATCAGCTTAAAAAATCCAGTGATTGCACTTCAGTGTCATCAGCAATTAATTCAGCACTGATCGTTTTATCTAATGTTATCAGGGAACGGGTAAGAGTAAAACACTGTGGACTGACTTTTGGGAATTTATAGAGATAATGCAAGAGCAGACCGGAGAGGTAGACGGGGGACAGCAAAACCAGCAAAAGAATAAGGAGGACGAGTAATCAAAAGGCAGCAAAGAGGGTGGCATTAGATGGAAAGGATTGATGAAGTAAAGATGAACATGATACAAATTATTATGAGAAAATATTAAAGTCTTACATTTTAGGTGTGATACAAAGACCATATTTTTATGTTCCTCGCTGGGTGAAAGACCAACCTACTTTTATCTCAGCCTCTCTTGTCTGATAGTTGGTCCATGGCTGAGTTCCCAGCTCAGATCCACTATGAGAAAGAGCGGGGGTCTGTGTCCTCCAAATGCGCCTTGGTTATCAATCACAAAATAGAAACTGTAAGATGAAGATGACCAACCAGGGATTAAGATAAAACCATGCACTTTTCCCGATTTACCTGCACTTAGGGGTCAAACGCAGGACTTTATCTCCTTTCATGAATGCTATATCCATTTTAAGAGTTAATTAACTACATTACAAAATGCAAGAACTGCTGAGAAAAACAGAACTGTATTTGGTTTTACAAGCCCTTAGACATATTAAATAAGAAGACCAATACCTTAAGTAGTTCCATATCAGTTCTACTGTTCCTCAACTCTAAAATTTATCTGTGCTTTTTTTGTTTGTCTGTTTCTAGGATTTCTTTTTCCTAATGGAAAATTTGTATAGGAAGTGGAGAAATCAGTGACTGATTTACTTGATAATGTTCAGCTTATATGAAGGTTTTGTTTTTTTACAGATGTTCTACAAAGCAGCCAACCAATGCTCTGCTTCAAGCATAGGCACTTCAAGGTGGTATTTCTTTGTTTTCACCACAGGTCAGATCCCATCACCAGGAAAAACTAATTTCAAAGAATCTTCCATCACAGGCACTCCGAAATAATGAAACGAAACAGGCAACCAGAAAAAAAAAAAAATCCTTTTTCTTTAACCCATCAACCCTGCGCCAGCGATGCAGAACTCTCCTCAAGCTCTGGCAATAAGGTTTGCTAGTCAGGTAGCAAATGCGCTCCTGTGGCTTAGACCACCGTAATAATTTCTCTCTTCTGCAGGACGTTTACTTCAAGCATTGATAACGGCAAGCTGTGCCTCCATTGGGTCTTTTAGCATGTCCACGTAACATTTTTTCTGATGTTGATTCGAGTACTTTAAACACTCGCTTTGTTCTCTGTTGTAGGTCATGGGTTGTATGGGACTTTTGAAATGTTGTCCTCCTGGAGGAAAACTAGAGAAGACCAACACGTTAAAGAGAGGACTGCAGCCGTATTTGCAGACTCCATGCTCTCGTTTTCTCTCACCACTGCCATGTACCTGGTCACTTTTGGAATAGGTGCCAGTCCCTTCACTAACATTGAAGCAGCCAGGATTTTCTGCTGCAATTCCTGTATTGCAATTTTCTTCAACTACCTCTATGTACTCTCCTTTTATGGTTCCAGCCTGGTGTTTACTGGCTACATAGAAAACAACTACCAGCATAGTATCTTCTGCAGAAAGGTACCAAAGCCAGAGGTATTGCAAGAGAAGCCTGCATGGTATAGGTTTCTTCTGACAGCCAAATTCAGCGAGGACACGGCAGATTCAGAGGAAACGAACACTTACGAGAGTCATCTTTTGGTGTGGTTCCTTAAACGCTATTATTGTGACTGGATAACAAACACTTACGTCAAGCCTTTTGTAGTTCTCTTTTACCTTGTTTATATTTCCTTTGCCTTAATGGGCTACCTGCAGGTCAGTGAAGGGTCAGACCTGAGCAACATCGTAGCGACCGCAACTCGGACCATTGAGTATACGACTGCCCAGCAGAAGTATTTCAGTAACTACAGCCCGGTGATTGGGTTCTACATCTACGAGTCGATCGAGTACTGGAACACCAGTGTCCAGGAGGACGTGCTGGAGTACACCAAGGGCTTTGTGAGGATATCTTGGTTTGAAAGCTACTTAAATTACCTTAGGAAACTCAACATATCTACCGGATTGCCCAAGAAAAACTTCACTGATATGTTGAGGAACTCCTTCCTGAAGGCCCCTCAGTTTGCCCATTTTTCAGAGGATATCATCTTTTCCAAGAAATACAACAACGAAGTTGATGTCGTGGCCTCCAGGATGTTCTTGGTGGCCAAGACAATGGAAACCAAGAGGGAAGAACTTTATGACCTCCTGGAGACCCTGAGGAAGCTCTCTCTCACCTCCAAGGTGAAATTCATCGTTTTCAATCCATCGTTTGTGTACATGGATCGTTATGCCTCTTCAGTGGGAGCCCCCTTACAAAACTCCTGCATTAGTGCTTTATTTCTGCTCTTCTTCTCTGCATTCCTGGTGGCAGACTCTCTGATCAATGTCTGGCTCACTCTAACTGTTGCCTCGGTTGAGTTTGGAGTTATAGGTTTTATGACCTTGTGGAAAGTGGAACTAGATTGTATTTCTGTGTTGTGCTTAATTTACGGAATTAATTATACAATTGACAACTGTGCTCCACTGTTATCAACCTTTGTCCTGGGCAAAGAGTTCACAAGAACTAAATGGGTGAAAAATGCCCTGGAAGTGCATGGGGTAGCTATTTTGCAGAGCTACCTCTGCTATATTGTTGGTCTGATTCCTCTCGCAGCTGTGCCTTCAAATCTGACCCGTACACTGTTCAGGTGCTTGTTTTTAATAGCATTAGTCACCTTCTTTCACTGCTTTGCCATTTTACCTGTGATACTGACTTTCCTGCCACCGTCCAAGAAGAAGAGGAAAGAGAAGAAGAATCCTGAAAACCGTGAGGAAATAGAGTGTGTTGAAATGGTGGATATGGATAGCACCCGAGTGGTTGACCAAATTACAACAGTCTAACTTGTTTGTTTGTTGCTTTTTTACACTAGGTCTTACTGAAGGGGAAAAAAAAAAAAAAGAAAAAGAAACCAGTACTGACTAAATATGTGGGGAGAGGAAGGGGTTTGGATGTTTTCCCTCCTCCCTCTAATCTAAATCCAGGAATACTGACTAAATATGTGGGGAGGGGAAGGGGTTTGGATGTTTTCCCTCCTCCCTCTAATCTAAATCCAGGAATATTCAAAATGATGGGAGAAATTTAAAATAAATTTTAAAAAAGAGCTGGGGGATTGTACCTTGCTCAGCTCCTATAACAGTTATTACGGGAGAATTTGCTCACACATGCAAAGAGGGGTTGAATTTTAGACGCATGAGGTAAGATCTAATGAGAGAAGTTGGGTTCCTCAGCAGCCATCTGCGCCGCCTGTACTGCAGATGCTGCAATTATTGTGGCTAAACCCAATCAGATCGAAAGGTCAACTGTCAAGGCTGAAGTAGCACTAAATGTTCGCTGGATGTAAAGGCTTTACAAACTTTCTGCACAGCAATAACTCAAGTCAGTGAGTCAGCTCTTATAGGTCTTAGCCATCACATTTAATTTTTCTTTTCTCCCCTAATCTAAACATTTATGCAAGACTGTATAACGGATAGCAAACTGTACTGGGGAAGAAGGCAGTACACAGCAACCAAACACTTTCCAAACACTTTTATGTTATAAATCACTTCTTTCTTTTTTTTTCTAAAAATATCATTATTTTAAAATGTAAATCATCCCTTGATACATTTTTAATCATGGTTTTATAGCTGTTTCTTTTTCTTATAAAAACAAAAAAGAAAAAAAAAAATCCCAGTGACTCTGTCACTCTAGAAAATATATAATTCTATTTTATATATGTCTCGCTACTAGTTAAACGCGTAATCTGCTTTACCAACTGTAATTTTGTTAGCACTCTACTAACACGTGCGAGTGGATCTAGCAGCAGACAGAAGACGGTGTACTGAATATTTCAGCACCAAAATCCATGACACAAACCTCAAATACTAAACTGTCATCAAGAAAGTGAATGTTAGGGCTCTTTTAGTGAGAGCCTATTTCAGGCCATTCACTGGTAATGCACACTAAGAGGATTAGTGGGTAGTTTTACGTAATGTATAACTTAATCCCTCAATCTTCCTGGAGTACCTGTAAAGCAATAGACCTCGCAGCTATGGGCTCTTCCAAGACACAGTAGACTTGTATGAGGCTTGTGTGGAAGAAACCGAAGGTTGGGACTGCTGTTTAGCAGCAGTGAGCTTAACAACGTCCCCAAAGAGCCCATATCTAAGGAGCCTATTGAAAACATCACATCTGAGGGGAAAAAAAAAAAAAAAAGTTAAAAAGATTACATTACTGAGTCTTTTTGGAGCTGTGAGTTCTAAATCAATAATTCTGTCAGCATCTGTGATGTGGAGTAATACAGATAAAGCAGCATCTCTTCCCTCCTCCACCCCCTCCACCCTTAAGAGCGACAGGCTCATTACTGGAAGGTTTTATCGTGCGGTTGAACCCCAGTGGGGATGCGTTAGCCACTTCTGTAGGTTTTACTGAGAGCGTTCTGACACCACATTGCCTGTGGAAACCCCGTTGCGGGGAGCCGGCCGGTGTGTCGGGGTGGTCTCGTGGATGTACGAGCTGCTGCCTTGTGACAGGGCAAGGTGAACGTACTGCAGCCCGATTCTTTTATACAGCTCCTCTGGAAAGTAAGAACACTTGAAAGGTCTTCAGTGGTTGCCTCAGTCACACTGTTTGGGGGGCGAAGGGGTATTTGCAGGAGCCACGGGGCTTGGGAGTGCTGTGGCTCGCGTTAACCCTGTGTTACAGGCGATGAGCACACCTGTGGTCACAAACCCCGGGTGATGCTGCCTTGCATGAAACTTCTCTTTAGCATCCAATCCCAGACACCCCCCCCAAGCGCCCCGTGCAAAACCCGCAAATGCCACCTAGTGAGTATGAATTTCCAAGCCAAGAGATACTTCCGAAGCTTCCTCCCTAGCAGAAAATAAGATAGGCAGATATTTTGCCCCGAAGCAAACGGTTGCGTACTGACTAGCAAAACAAGTCAGCGGTGCAGCTGGCAACATTTGCTTTCCCCTGGATAAGTCCCTTCCCTGAGCAGGAGGAAAGGAAGCCGTGTCCAGGAATGGACAGGCCCTTTGCTTGAACAAGAACCATGTGCTGCGGTAGCAGCTGGGAAGCTGCAACAACAACTTCAGCCTTGGCAGAAATCAGGCGGACACCTTGGAGACGGCCAAATGAACGGGAGGGGAGGGGAAAGATCTGCTTCCCCTGTTTTCTTTAAACGCAGGCTGGGGGCTATGTTTTCCAGCCCAAAAATCGGTCCTAAAATCTACTTTCACTGTTGGATTTTCTGCAAGGGTCGTTGTGTCATTTAAATAACAGTCGCCCTGTCTCCTGGCCGTTCAACAGGCAGCTGCGGTGGCTGTTCAACTTCTGAGGGCATTAGCAAATTAGTTTAAAGTTGCAGAGGAGTTGCAAACCGCTTTTGGCAGCAGCGGTCCCCTGGCTCGTGGGACACCTGGAAATGGGAGATGTGTGAAAGAGGTTATTTGTAGGCTGCAGAGAGGCATACATGGCAAACACTGATTTTACACCTCTGCTATCCCTGATGCTATCGCTTGCAAACAGCAGACGCAAGGATGGCTACCATAAACCTCTTCACATCTAATTGAAATGCAGAGATAGGAGTGGCTTTAAAGAGATGTCCAAAGACGAGCTTGTAGTTTCACAGATCTCTCATTAAATCTCAGCATGGGAGGCCCTCAGAGATCTTCAAGGAAGGTGATAAAAACAGTGATAAAATTATTCCTCTATCTCCAAACCTGTCAGAAGAAGGATGTGGAGGCACTTCTATGGCAAAGTGCTGCAGGACAAGCTTGGGTGTCCACAGAAGACAGGATGAGAAGTCCTGCAGCCCACCCCCCTGCCCCAAGGCAGAGCCGACAACATCTAAATCTTTCCTGGAGGATGTTTGTCCAGCCCATTCCTAAAAATCTTTCCTCCCCTAGCAGTTCCCCCCAGTGCCATGTTACCCCACCAGTAACTCCTGCTGGCCACCTGGGACTGGAAGAGCCCGGTGTCCCACTCCACACAGGGCAGGACAGGCAGGAAAGAGTTTCTAAAGCCTCCTTGTACCCTTAGAAATCCGAAACAGAGCCAAAAAATTACTTATGTACATTTCTCACAGTGTTTCTTCTCAAGCCACCGCTTCCTCTACCCAATTCCAGGCTTGGTGAGGTAAAGCCATGAAAATGTCCAAGGTGTACTCAGCCCAGGTCCGTGAGATTTCTGCCTGAATCCTGATGTGTCTGAGAGATGCACCAAATACTCCTTCTCTCCAGGTAGCTTGAATACCTCAACATGAACCAGAGCGGCATGTTCTCAAGGTTTCAGACTATGCTAACCCACTTTGGCCTTCCTCCCCTTTGACTTTTTCCTCTGGAGCAACTTTCTTCACCTCAATTGGCCCTCAGTGCGCTGATTGATTACTCGGTGCAGATGCTGTGCTCTGTTCTCAGTCCAAAGCACTCCCAGTGGCTAACTGTGCATAAGATTTTACCCTTACTGGTGAACCTCTGTTTTGGAAGACTACCTAGGCTTAAGCAGTTTTTTGTCATACTCTCAAGTGGCTTTTTAGCCCAGGTATCACTGTGGTTTTGTTTGCAATATAGATGACCCAATTTTTGTATAAATTCAGTGAGTAACAGAGTATTATACACTGTCAGGCACTGACTAAAACCTTAGCAGCAAAAATTTTAACTAAAGCTAACAAGAATATATAGGACTGTGGCTCACTGAGCACATATATCTTCTACAAATATTAAAATTTCCATACAGTAAGGTATGGTGTACAGTATATTTTTACTACTGGGGAAAAGCATGGGGAAAAAGAACCAACCTAAGTGCGTACGACCATCAAGATCAGTCCAGTTTTCTTGTAACATAATTCCTAATGTTGGCGTAGCAAAGTTCATTTTCAATTTGCAAATACTCGAGTTAGAGGAAAAATGAAGAGAGAAAAGTTGGTATAGCTGGAATAACTTCGCTATAAAAATTAATTGATTTAGCCAGAATTTTCTGCCCAAAGCTTTAAGTGGAAATGTTCTAGTTAGATTAAAATTAGAGTTGTGAAGGCTGAGAAAAACCTGTCTGGCAAAGAAAAAGAGCTGCTTTTCCAAAGACAAGCAAACACACTTATCGTGGTCAGCTGCATGAACCTGGAGGGAAAACAGTACCAAAGTGGCCTGAGGTTACGTTGTGCCACGTGAGGATTCACATCTGCTCTCAGAAGCTTTCTGAGCCAGCGCTGAATTCAGGTAAAATGTGTACTGTAAATTGAAAGGTGTACTTTTAAATGCTTTTCTCTAGCCTAGCTGTCCTCCTGTGAGCCACCAAATCCCACCTCAACCAACACCTTGTTTATTTTTATTCAAAGAGAAAACAAAAGAGAGTGGTGGCACGACTGGGCAGAGTTCAGGAGAGTCAGTGGAGACCGTGACTTCTCTTAAAAAAAGTCAGGAAGCCAGAAGCAGCTCTTTAGCAAGTGGGGTTTTTTCTGGGAGAAGACCTGGTTGTTTCAAAACTTAGCAAACCGGTGTTTCTCCCATTTGTTAAGTTTGGAAGCAAATAGCGTGTTCAAGGAGAGGTGGGGAAGGGAAGCAGAGTTAACAGGATTGAGCCTCGGGTGGGATGTGGACCCCTGATTGCTGTAGCTACTCTCCTGCGGTTGGGAGATGGTGGCAGGAAGAGTAGGAGGGGCTCTGCTGCTGGGGCACTGGGGACGCCAGACCTGGTGCTGTGGCGGGGTCACCTCCCATGTCCCCATCCCACAGCCTGGTCCCATGGCTCCTACCGATGCCTCACTTTATGACACCACAGCTGGGTTTTGCTGAAGCAGAGCTGGTGGGAAGCTTCCCTGTGGGAAGCCACCCTGGTCAGAAAGGATTACCCTGAGCCTTTTCCTCCCCTGCCTTCGCAGGAGTTAAACCCCCAACCCCTACAAATCAAATTGTACAATTAGC